ATCAGTCCCCCCTCTGGGAATGACCATGGAGATCCATGGTCTGGACAAAGGTGATGCCCTGAACTTGCACACAGCAGCCCAGACCCCCAGCTGTGGCTGCTTCCACAGCCAGCTGTGAGGGCTGCGTCTTCTCCCCTCTCCTAACCTCACTGACTTCCAGGAGCACCTAGCATCAAACCTCCTTTGTAGACCAGTTAGGGGACCTGCTTCCCCGGCACAAGCCCAGGTCCCTGACACACCTGTGCCAAGCATGCTGGCAGTGTCTCCCTGCTTCTCGCCAGCTCCGCTCAGTGAGGGAGCACCAGTTCCAAGGTGTGGCAGGGGAGGAAAGCTGCGAGAGCGAGCTCCGCGCCCGAAACAAGGCTCTGACGCAATGTGCATGAGTGCAGGGAGCACCCAGGGACTTCAGGTCGCCAGGCTCCTCCTTCCTGGCACCTCTGGGTGGATTCAAGCCACCAACCTTTTGGTTAGTAGTTGAGGGCTAAACCCTTTTTAGCATCACCCAAGGATTCCACCTCTGCCCTCCCCGCCCCAGCACACCCGCCCTCTGGAGTGGCCTCCCAGGACTCATTCAGGGGCACTTGTCCCCTACCTGTCCCCTGCCCTCAGCCTCAGCTGCGCCTGGTTCTCAGAGGTTGGACAGCAGCCCGAGCTGCTGCCACCTAGTGGAAGCAGGATGCTCACCCTCCAGGGGCTCTAACTCAGACCTCTGGGGCCCAAACCAGGGAGCAGCAGGCCTCAGACGTCACTGAGACAGAAAGCAGCCCATCCTGCCACTTCCCAAGGGTGGAGGAAGCCGCTCCTCTAGACACCGGAAGGTCAGCAGTTCTGGTCTCCTGCAAGACCAACCCTCTCCTCATCTCCTCCCCGCTCCAGCTCTGAGACAGGGATGGATCCAGCCTGTTAGGTGCAGCTGTCGGGGTGTGGAACTGTCCGGGGCTCTCCAGATGCCCTGGAGAGATGGCATGTGGGTGGACAAGAGGGGACTTAAAGCCATGCCCGCGGCATGGGTTCAGAGGTTCAGAGGGTGGGCCATGGTGTGTCACGGCCCAGGGCAGAGGCAGTGTCCACAGCACCCAGGCCCAAGCCCTGAGCTGGCTTCTGGGTCCTGAGACCCAAGACATTAGGGGTAGGAGCAATAGGGCCCAGTTGGGCTCTAAATCCTAACATGTGGGCAGTGGTCAAGACTGAGTCATTCCTCCATGGACCAATCCATTCAAGTGTATGCAGAAACCCATCCACACATGCATTCTCTGATCAAGTTACTCACTCTCATATATCCTGGCCCACTTATTCACCAACCATACACCCCTACATCCACCCATCCATTTACCACCCACCCAACCACCGATCACTGGTCCATCCATTCACTGCCCAGGTTACCCCCCTCCTTCTATCCACCCACCCATCTCCTACTCAACCAACCATCCACCACTGACCCAGCTATTCATTACCAACACCCCTCTCCACCCACAAATCCACTCATCCACTACCCATCCACCCTGGTCCATCCATTCACTGCCCATACACCTTTCCCTCTATGAATCTACCCGTCTACCTGTGCTCTACGCAGTTACCATCCGGCCCATTCATGAACCCACCCAACTATCCACTCCCATACATCCATACACTCCACCCACTGCGCATCTACCTACCTATGAATCCATCCATCTATCCATCCATCCATCCATCCATCCATCCATCCATCCATCCATCCAACTACTCAGTCCCACTTACCCGTCCCCATCCATCCATAAATCCACCCACCCATCCATTTCCCATCCATCTTCACGATCCACCCACCCATCCAACCCTGAACCAACCCATCTTTGGTGTTAGCCTAAAAGTTGGCTTTTTTTAGCCATTACCTTAGTTAGCCCCAGTTGGTCTCCAGCTACCTTAACTGCAGACACATGGTTTAGCAAATCATCAACAGCTGTGAAACTAGGATAAGAAAAAGAGCGCTTCCCATAGCGTGCAACAGGACTTGAGGAGAGGAAGACTTGAGGGAGACTGGAGCAAGACCCTGCTGAGAATGAGATCCAGGTGATGTTAGTGGAGAGATGGGGCATTGCTGTGGAGAAGGTATTGCAAGGGGTAATCTGAGGAGTCCTGGGATAAAGGCCACAGTTAAAGGATTGCTGTCGTTGCCTTGGATGATGGGAAAGCTGCTGCTGAACTGAAGCGGGAGCCTGGACTAGTGAGGAACTGTGTCTTGGGGCGGCCTGGCTGCCTCCCCCACTTTGCACTTACTTCTCTAACAACCCTCATTCTCCACACCACAGTCGAAAGGCTGGGAGTCAACAAGAGTAAATGCGTAAACCTCCCGCTGCTGTGGCTCTAGCGGCATGAAGGGGCTGGGCTACGGCTCTTCACCCGCGCTCCGCTCTGGGGCGGGAAAGGGCTGTGCTGTTCTCACTCCCTCCGGCCCTTTCTGAGAGACACCAACAGCCCTGCGCCCCCATGTCCTATCTTCTCCTACTTAGACACCATCCCTGTGTATCCATTCGCCACCCACTCAATCACCCATTCACTAGCCCAGCCATGCCTTCAACCAGTCATGTACCAAATCATCCATCCAGCCATTCCCACACATCCATCCACCTACCCACCCACCATCCACACACCCACGTATCCAATCATCCATCCACCCATCCATCCATTCCCGCACATTCATTGACCATCCACCCCTGAACTCACCCATTCATCCCTATATATCCACTCACTACATACTCAACCATTCATACACTGGACTACCCTCACATTCACCCAACCATCCCTTCCCACTCATCCATCTTCCCATACTATCTATTCATCCATCACCCACCTATCAATTTCCATCCATCCATCACCCACCACCCATCCATCCACCATCAGTCCACTCACTACCTTACAACCACTACCTCACCCACACACTCACCCAGCCCCATCCACCCACCCATCCTTCATCCACCCACCCATCCGACCATTCACTCACCGACCACCCATCCATCCATCATGCACTCATCCATGTCCATCTCTCCTTCAGTGCATCCCTGGATGCAGGACCCTGGGTGCTGGAGAGCAGAGTCCACAGGAGTAGCGGGGCCAGGGAGCCACAGTGGGGGTGTGGGAGCCCCAGCTGTGGGCTTTATGCTGCCCTGAGCCCATAGCAGAGCATCCTGGCTAAGGGCCCCATCTGGGGGTAGACGTGAGGCCTGGCGAGGCTGCCATGGTGACAATGCTGGCTGCCCTGGTGCGCAGACACCCAGAACATATGGCCTGTGACTTGCCAGAATGGTTGGCCTGCAATTAGGCAGCCAAAGCACATATGGTGTGCCCAGACAAGACCCATCTCTCAGCATAAAAAATGCCAGGGACGATGGAGAGTGTCAGAGGAGCTGCCCCACCAATCTCTCTTCATTAATGCTGCATATGGCGCCAAATGGGTAGTAACGAGGTGGCGATTAGCACGCGTCTGTCTGCAGTGACCTCAGCTTGGTGGTGCTCACCTTTAACCTGGAGGGCAGTGTGCACAGGGCCAGCAGAGACCTCAGCAGCCCAGGGCCAGCTGGCTGCCACCTCCTCTCCTGTGGACACAGCATCAAGACCCTCGAAGGGAGGTGGGCATCAGGTCAGGCAGCCTGGCCAGCAGCCCAGCATGCCCTGGTCAAGGAAACACCAGGGACAAGGGCCTGACAAGTGGCCTCTCCAGGTTTGTTCTTGACAAATGGAGACCTGAGCATTGTGACCAGGTTTAAGGTGCCCATTGTGTTAAACCCCAAACAGAGGAGCTATGCCCCAGATATGGGAGGTTTTCTACTCTAGACCCTAAGAAGTCAGGCTTGGGAGGCCCTCTACCCCTAATCCCAAACAGAAAAACCAGGGGGCTGTGCTCCAGACTGGATGGGCACCTACCCCAGACCCCAAACAGGGAGGGAAGGAGGGGCTGTGGCCAGGCTGAGGCACTCTCTATCCCAGACCCTGTACAGAGAATTCAATGTTTGTGCCCCAGGCCAGGGTGCCCCCTGCTCCAGCCCCCAAGAGCACCAGTGGGGACTCCTCAGTGTGGAGGAACTGCTGGGCTCCAGATTCCTCTGCCTCCACCTCCTCACACACCATTCGGCCATTCCCAGAAGCCTCCTCTCCTGCTGACCACTATTCGGATGCAGCCCTAGGGAACACCTCTGCTGTCCATCGATGACCTGAACACGGTCACACCCCGGAAGGCCAACTCACCTCCCTGTGTGTTTCTGATACCACGTACCATGACATCCATGTTTACACAGCTCCTCACTAGAAGGTCAGCCCTGTGGGTGAGGCCCTGGGTGCTCAGGCAAGCTGGTGTCCACCAGGGCTTGCTGGAGGGAAGTCACCCGAGCTGGGCCTCAGAATGGGCTGACCACACTGACCCTGTCATCTCCTGGGAGAAGCAGGACATTCTGGAACTTGGGATACTCGGGCCTGGGCTCCACAGTCAACGAGGCACCAGGACCAGCAACAGTCACACTGCCCCAGCGCTAAGCTGCTGGTCACTGGGAACAAACCTGAGGGGCACAGATGGAGCGCTGGCCGAGGCCCCAGCATCGTCACAGCAGGAAGGTACAAAGCCACGAGTGGGGACCTCATGAATGCAGCAGCATGAGGTGTGCTGAGCTGCACGGTGTCTGGGCACTGGGAAGCCAGGGAGGCCCCGCCTGGCCCCGAGGTGAGGCCCCTGCAGGCCCAGCACAGCCTGTGTGCCCACGGGGTAAGCCAAGATGTCTGCCCCTTCTGAGATGGACAAGCCTGAGGCCCAGACAAAGCCTCGGAAGCTCAAGGACATGGGGAGACGGGAATGCAAAAGTGTAAGGGAGACCACCAGGCTGGCACAACGTGGACAGGACAGCCAGTGTGCGAACCAGCTAGTGAAAGTCTGCGTACACAGTTACGCACCTGGGGGCCTGCAGGCCAGGAGAGACCCACCTCCTGCCTGTGGAGCGTCAGAGCCCTGCCTGCCCAGGGGGGACCCCACCACTCACCTCGACCTCGGAGCTGTGGGCATGCACCTTCTGCACCATGTCCTCGGCCTCGCGGATACGGCGGGTCAGCTGTGGTGAGTACTCGGCCGGGGTCATCTCACTGTCATAGGAGCCCAGGATGGCCCGCATGCCGTCGCGCTCCTGTGGGCAGAAGGGCGGTCAGGGTTTGGGGCCGGGGAGGGTGGGCAGAGGGTGGTCCTGGAGGGTGGGCAGAAGGGCAGTCAGGGTCAGTGGCCAAGCTCTACCTGCTCACTGCACCCACGGTGCCCCCCGACCTTACCCCTGGGGAAAAGCCAACTCAGTCCCGAGCAATGGTACAGACACCTGAGCCACCAAACAAGTAAGGCCAGGAAGGATCACAGGTGTTCCAAGGAGCAACTAAACAGAAGGGAGCTGTCCCACATCTGACATGACAGACTCCACAATGTCCACCATACACTCGGGTCACCGGGGGTGTGTTAGGTGCCATCGAGTGACAACTCTTAGTGACTCTGAAACAGATTTGAACCAAAATGCCCACTCAGCCACGGGTGCTGCCGAGTCCCATGGAGCTGGCCCCACGCGCAGCGACACGGCACAAGGACCCTGTGGCTCCCACGTCAGCTCGCTTCCCTCCAGGCACTGAAGAATGTCGCCATTGTGTGCCATCGTGGTGACTGTGACTCATAGCGACCCTGTGCCCAGGCGCTCACGTGACACTAAGAACATCGACCAACTGGGATCGCCGCGCAGGGACAAGAGGTCAGAACTTCCCAGTTGCGCCCGCAGAAGTACCTGTACCCTGGATGTTCAAAAAGCTGGAACTATTAATTTTGAAAAGAAGTGCAAGTATGGTTTCTAAAAGTGAGGACTCCGTACAGTGGACGAGAGAAAAGCACGGGGTGAGTTTAAGGAAAAATGAGGTTGAAAAGATGGGTGGATGCAGAAAAAGCCAACCAATAAGCCCCAGGCCGTGCAGTCGTACAGCCGGAATCAACTTGTGGCTCACCGTCCACCAGGCCCCCGGCTGTGAAGCGCACAGGGAGCCGGCCCACCATTCGCAGAGCTGAGGGAGGGGCACCCGGAGGGGTGCCCAGGAGGCATGGTCAGGAGGGACGCCCAGGAGAGGTGCCCGGGAGGGGGGCTTGGGAGGGAGGGGTGCCCAGGAGGGGTGCCTAGGAGGGATACCAGAGAGCGCAGCCCCCGCAGACTACCCTGTGGAACCCCGTACAGCAAGAGAAGCGATCCAAAACAAAGCAGAATTCACTCCAGAGGAAGGTGTCTCCAGTGATCTGGGGGACGATGGCAAGGGCCCTGGGGGTGCAGGGGGTTTGTGCTGGAGCAGTTTAACCTGCCCAATTCCATGGGAGAAGACGGCCAGTGTGCTGCTGAGATGGACAGAAAGCCGAGAGAGGGTCTCTGTGTCAGGTCAGCTCCACGGCAGGGCACTCAGTTTCATTTTGTTTTTCAAAGAACATCTGAGTACTCACACCCAACTTGGCTGATGTTCTCATCTTCCAAGCCTTTCAGTAACTCAAAAGCATTCAGTTCATTCAAAATACGTTCCCAGTGGATGAAAAACAAACCCACTGTGGCCGAGTCATCAGCTCCCGGCAGCCCTTCAGGGTGGGGCAGAGCGGTGCAGAGGGTCTCCAGGCCATCATCTCCATGGAGGAAACGGCTGCATCCTTCCTCAGAGCAGCTGGTGGGACACGTTCGTCAGCAGGTACGCATTCACCACTGCATCACTCCTTGTTCTTGTTGATGGAGCCAAATTACAAATCAGTACCAGAAAGAATGTGTGGAAAATCCCAAAGTAAGAGCAGACAGCCAGCAATCCAAGAAGAAACCAACACTGAAACCAGACAGTACATAAAACGGAGGAAAGCGAAAATTCAACAAATGAGAGTTTACAGCATGCTACTGAAGCTGTGCTTGGAGGGGAAAGGGTCTCAAGTGAGAAAACTCAGCTTCTGTCTTTCAGAAGGGAGCAAGCAAAAAGACAAGACAACGGTCCATGTGGAAACGGAGGAACCAGAGACCAGTCAGCCAGGGGCAGGTTCCTGGAGATGACCAACACACCGATAAACCTGTGCACAGGGGACTGAGCAGGAAGAAGAGGGGAAGACCCATTCCTGATCTCAGCAAGGAGGATGTGACAAAACTCGGACGCTGCAGATACAAAAACAAGAGACGGTGATGAACACGTCAGGGCAGACATTGAAAACACAGCTTCGGGCGTCCTCGGAGGAAAACTTCAGGCCTATGCTGTTCAGCACTGAATTTAATCATGTATCAAAGAAAGAAATAATACCCCGACCAAGCATTCTTCTAAAATGTTGGTGAAGAAGTGAGAACACATCCCGACTCATCCCTGCAGCCAGCTTCACGCAGAAACCTACACCAGACAGGACATCAGGAGAGAAAGGGGCAGTAGACTGATTCATGTCGGAAGCAGAGATCCAAAATCCGAGCCAAAACGGAGTATCCAACCCACAGCATACTCCAAGGGTGACAGCATGCGGAGCTGGAGTGACTCCAGGACCCCAACGGCATCGAGTCCTTTGGGTCCCAGAGGCCCTGGAGCAAGGAGTTAGCCTGCAGCAGGCCTGCCCAGGCTGTGCATCGGCGGAGCACCTGCCTCCCGTGGAGGTCTAACCACTGACCTCTCCATCGGCAACCCAACGCTTTGCCTGCTTTGCACCAGGGCTCCTTTCAGGAATGCGAGGCTGACTTTAAAAATCAAAGAAGAAAAACCAAGTGACTGTCTCATTATGCAGACAAAGTGTGTGACAGAATTCAACGCTGATTCCTGACGAGCCCCCAGCCATTCTGGACCAGGAGCGCTGAAAGGCGAGGCGATGAGATGACAGCGAACATCAACGGCAAGCGTCTGCTCGCACTGCTTACGCTGCAGACGGAGCCACTTCAATCACACAGGACAGAGACACAGGGGGAATCAGAAGGCAAGTGCATGGGAACGCGTGCCTCCACACGCGTGGCTCTACCTCCGAGGACAGCAGTTCAAACCTCCCACAGGCAGGGAGAAGAGGGTACTCAGTTTCCAGAAAGGTCGTGGCCAAGCCGGAGCGAGGGCACAGCTGTGCTCACATTCCAGGGCACCTGGAGTCAGAGCTATCAACAGCTCGGACACTTCATTTGGGGATTATTTCAATGGCAATGACATGGGCAAGGCTCTCTTGACTCTCACACAGCATGACCGAGTATGTGGAGATCAGATGACAGCTACTAAAAACGACCAGCATTAACCAATGAGACTGAAAGTGTTTCAGGACAGAAGACAGAACCCTTTGCTGTGTTATTTCCTGTGTGAGTATCTACAGGCATTGTTGAGGCCAGACGGATCTGGGTTGAAGGCACAGGACTCTAGGGAGGTATTTTTACAGAACTAGAGAAGAAGAAGGATGCGAGCACTTTGTGGAAAACACTGCGGGAATGAGAATTTAAGGACACCTACTTACGTTCACGCAGAACGTGCACATCGACAAGAGGCACCAGTTCAAACACAACAAGACGTCTCACGGCTTAAAATGACAAAGCCGTGTGTCCACATCTATTCAATCTGTTTGCTAAGCAAACCATCCAAGAAACTGGACTACATGAAGAAGAATGTGGTGTCTGGATGGTAAATGACTCATCAAAGACCGGCAGCATGCCGACGTCATAATCGCACGTGTGGAAGTACAGAAGCCTTGACGCGCTTACCAATGCAGCTCACTGCCTTTAGCATTCAGGATGGACACCACCTCAGCAAGGTGACAAGAAGAAAAGGGAGCTCCAGTGGCCTAGTGGCAAGAAGCTGCACTGCAAGCTGAGAGGTACACAGTTCGAATCCACCAGATGCTATGCTGGAGAAGGAGGGGCAATCTCTTCCTGTACCAGTCAGATCTGATTTGGCGGTACACACAAAAGATAATAAAATAAAATATAAAAAGGAGACAACAAAGATCTGCACAGGACACAATGGACAACAGCGTGGGCACCGGAGAGAAGGGCCTGCTGTCAAGGTTCGGGAACCGGAGGAAGGGCCTGCTGTCAAGGTTCGGTTTCCCTGACTCCACGGTCTACGCCACAGAAGTGGGAGTCAAGAGACCAGACAACGGACTGCAATTTCCTGGGAAAAACTGCCCTTCTGTATCTCTCACAAGTCCTAAGGGCAAAGCTGTCGGCTGAAACACCAGGGCACACATGAGCCAAGCCAGGATAGCCAGTCCACTCCTGTGCACATGGACGGGGGACAGTGAGCAGGGCACTGAGAAGAGCGGATGCACTGGGACGATAGTCTGAGTGAAGGACTCAGAATCTCCCAGATGCCAAAGGAGCAAGCCAATCTGCTCTTGAAGAGGCACAGCCAGTGTTCAAGAAGACATTCAAAAGCCCCAGCTCTCCACTGCTTGGAATATACCGAGAGAATGAGAAAAGAGGCACAAACAGAGACTTGTACACCCACGTTCACAGCGGCGTTATTCACCATCACAAGAACATGGAAACAGTCCAAATGTCCAACCACAATCGAGTGGACTGAGAAACTGTGGTACATTCCCACGAAGGAATACTATGCAGCAGGCAGGAGCAATGAGTTTGCAAATCACCACCTAACGTGGGAGGGTCTAAAGGGCATTATACTGAGTGACCTCAGTCCCATAAGAACAAGTACTGTCTAAGACCATTATTGTAGAAATAAAAGAGATAACTAGTAAAAAGTGTAAGAGGATCCAAGGACGGGTGAGTAGGAGCAGAGGGGTGAGGACAGACAAGGGGGTAATCACAGGGTTGCACAATTTGGTGGATAGAAAATGGGAAAGATTCAGTGTGAAAAACATGGTATGCAAACTTTCTAAGTAAACCTGATGTTATGTGCCATCTAGTCACCTGCAACCCATAGCGACCCTATGTACAGCAGCTCTGAACCCTGCCCTGTCCTAAGCCTGTTTCACTAATTCTGACACACCAACCTCCATTGCACCAGTCACTGTAAGACCCACCTTATCCAGGGTCTTCCTCTCATGTGCTGTCCTGCTGTCCTTCCATCCTTCCAAGCATGATGTCCTTCTCCAAGGACTGGTCCCTCCTGGCTACCTGCCCAAAGTATGTGAGATGGAGCTTCAAAATCCTAGCCTCCAAGGAGAAACTTAGTTTCA